CCTTGTGTTTGTGCATCATTTCAAATCTAATCGATTAATATTCTCACTTTAATCGATTTACCCAGTTTTGTTTTGATTAATCGATTAAAATCTCTTGATTAATCGATTAATTGAGTTTTGCTTAGTGTTGGATTACTCAGGTCTTGACTTTAATCGATTTTTTCCTTCCCTTTAATCGATTAGTTCACACAGGGCCTTCTAATCGATTAATCCCTTTAATTTAATCGATTCTCTTTCAGCTGCATTAATCGTTGATGATGCTGCATTAATCGATTAATGTCAGTGCATTAATCGATTATTATGCTGCATTTTTCATCCCAACTTCTTTTCTTGGACCAACGGATATATTCCTTCAACCCCCTCTAGAGTTGCACGCATTGTCTAACAGAACCTTGATTTAAAATAAATATTCTGATTTAAATGATGATTATAAATTATTAAGGCTATCTCTAAGAACTCTAAAAAAAGACCCCATTTGACCAATTTACTTAGGCCTTGCGGATATGATATCCGGTGGCTCGGATTAAAACGTATGTACGAGATCCATAAATCAAACATGAGTATCTATTCGTTTGGGGGTACCACCCAAACTAAATTGCCTTAGACTAGCATAGCTTAAGAGTCTGGTTATCAAATTAGAATAGCCTTAAACTAATTATAGTTTAAGAGTCACGTTATCAAACTAATTTTATTCTCATTTCTTTTACCAAGATGCATTATATATATATATATATATATATATATATATATATATATATATATATATATGAACTGAGAGCATGGTGCCTTTAAGGTTTGCCACGAGAAGACCAATGACGTGTTTGGAGAAGCCAAACTCCTTCAGAACTGCCTCAAGATAATCCGAGCGTAGAGTATCAAATGCTTTGGCGATATCAATCTTAATTATCATGTTTCCTCCGAAAGTTTTCCTGTCCAAGTTGTGAGCTGCCTCTTGCGCTAAAAGGATGTGGTCAGCCATGATTTTTCCTTGTTGAAAAGCTGCTTGATTTGAGGAGATTAGCTTGATACTACAGATCCCCTGCAATAATGAAAAGAAAAGGATGTGGTTCATGAGTTGGCGCTAAACCATTACAGCAGAAGCCCGAACCTTCCTCTTTGGGACGGGAAACTCTACTCCTCTAAAACAGTACTTAGCTCTATTGGAGATGGTCTCCCTTCAAGACTCTCTTGCAAATATATTTGGCATTCAGCTCAAACCCCCAAGCTCAGAATTTTTCAATGGAAAGCATTCTTTGGCTATCTTCCCTTTCCAGAACTGTCTGCTAGGTTTTCGGCCAGTCTTCCTAGTAGGTGCCCCCTTTGCAAATCCTCTGATGATGCCTTGGATCATACCCTTGCTTCTTGTCCCCTCAGCTTGCAAGTTTGGAGTTATTTTGCAGCCCTCATAGATGCACCTAAACCGTCCTCAGAACTACGACTAAATCAAATTTTCCTCACCTGGTGGTTCAGCGCTGAGTCCTCTTGTCTTATGGGTATTCTAAGATTAGTCCTGCCGGGAGTTATCTCGTGGCATCTTTGGAAAGCAAGAAATCAAGCCATTTATGACGGATCCACCCCGAGTAAAGATACGATCTTTCAAAGATGCTTTTATCGTGTACAAGCATGGAGTTGGGCCTCACGACGTAAGAGGTGGCTGGTTAAAGATAGAAGCTTCTCCGATTGGGGGCTGGATCTTTTCTGGATTAATGGTAGTAGATTGTTGCATGTAGTTTGACTTTCTTCTTAGTTTTGTACTTGGTCTTTCTTCATTAATAAAAGAACTCTTCATTATATATATATATATATATATATATATATATATATATATATATATATATATATATATATATATATATATATACATACACACACACACACACATATATAGGGATTGACTCTAGTGAGATGACACCTTACGGTTAGATGACATGCTTCGGTCAGATGACGCAAAGCTCATCACATTAAAATGCAAAACTCACCAATGACCAATGTAAAGCTCATATGGAAATAAAGCAAAACTCACCACTTTGAACACCAAAACTCATTTTTTTTATTTTGAAAATTAAAAAAATAATTAAAAATAAAATAGCAACACTAGTCAACCACCGGTCAGCAGCGGCGCGCGCGGCGGCGGTGGTCGGCAGAGGCGGTGATCGGCGTTCGGCGGCGGTGGTCGGAGGCCGGCAGTTGCCGGTGATATTCAACGGTCAATGGTCAAAGTCTAGTCAGCACCCTTTCCTTTGATTTTTTTTCAAAAAAATTCAAAGTGTTGAAAAAATATGGTGAGCTTTGCCTAACAATTTGGTGAGGTTGTAAAATTATTTGGTGAGCTTTGCAATGGCCAGTGGTGAGATTTGCGTCATCTGACCGAAGCATGTCATCTCACTAGAGTCAATCCCATATATATATATATATATATATATATATATATATATATATATATATATATATATAATTGTGCTTCAAATGTTGGAACAACAGTGTAAACATATGTCAGTGTTGAAACACCAAGCTAAATAGGGGTGTATGAAATCTGGTTTGGATCGGAAAGCTAGATTGGTCGAAAAATCCGGTTTCGGCCTAGACTCGTAAAAATCTAGGTTTGAAATACTTTTATATGCAACTCATTTTATTGTTGATGAAATAATTGTTTGTTGATATGATTTCTTGAAATACAACCAACGAATAGCAAAAAATAAAAAAAGGGTTGACACAAGCTAGTTGTCTAAAACAAATTGAAATAATACGAAAAAAATAAAAGGTACCAATTTTTTCCCATTTCAAATCGGACTGGAAGATCGAAATATTCAGTTATGGATTTTGGTCTTATCTTTACTCGGTTCTGATTTTCCAATTTTTTTTGTTCCGGTCTGGTTTTTGATAGGTAGTCACCCCTAGACCTGACAAAACTGACCCGGACCTGATAACCTGAACCGAATAACCCGGAACCAAACCCGATTTGACCTGAAAACTAAAGAATTGAAATAGGCCCAAACACCCGAAATGATCCGAACCGAATTGAACCCGAACCGAATGTATTCAGACCCGATTCAGATCCAAATCCGATTAAACCCGAATTGTTAAACCTAGAACTGATTAGACCCGAAATTGATTAAATTTTATATACGTCCGTGTTAAATAATAAAATAACTACGGAGTATATCATAAATTGATTAAATTTATTATGTGATATTATTGATTTATTAGTAAATATTTAAAATATATCTGAACTAATATAAACCTAAATCAATACAAACCCGAATCGACGAATCGATATAAACTCGAACCAATACAAACCCGAACCGATATAAACATGATCCGATACAAACCTGAACCGATACAAACCCGAACTGAAACCGAAAACCAGTCAAACCGAAATAAACCCAGAACCAATTGACCCAAACTGAACCGATGCAAACTAATTATAACATATATCCGAATGAGACCCGAACCAGAACTGAACTGATTGACCCGATTGCTAGGTCTAGACTCACCCCTAGACATAAATATATATAAATACTAGTGTTAACCCCCGTGCTTCTATATATTCTAAATTTTTGAGATTCTATAAATATAGTTTTATTTTTTTTAGTTTTCTAATAGTGACAAAATATATTTTAAACTGGTGAAATATATATTGATATGTTAATTTAAAAACAAAAAAATTATACTCCCTCCGTCCCACAAAAAAATTCCCATTTTGAATAATATTTAGTCAAATATTTACAAGCTTTGACTACAAATTGTGAGAAAAGTATATTGAATTATAAAATAAATTTAAAATAATTGGATTCATCTTAGGATCTAGTTTTGATTACTCAAATTTTTTTAGCATTTCTTTATTTAGATTCTATTTAATTTATGATCAAAGAGTGTAACTGTTTGACCAAAAATACATAAAAATGTGAACTTTTTTGTGGGACGGAGGGAGTACAAAATTAGTCGTTATTGAATTAAGTACTAATAAAAATGGTTTTAATTAAAAAAATATTATAACAAGAAGTGGATTAATTACATAATAATACATCATTAGAGAATGTATATGTGTCATAATGTCACTTGTTAGTTGTCATTCTTTAATTAAACCAACTTTATTCTATTTACTTTGTTGAAAAATATATGTAGCAATAAAATGAATAATGTAATAAGGTAAAAATTTTTGAAACAATGTATTTAATTAATAAATATGCATATGTTATTAAATTTATATAATCATTTTTTGAGAAGTAATACACTAAAATAAGTTATGGATAATATAAAAATAATCATATATATAGATACATACATACATACATACATATGTGTGTGTACATATATATAGTATATTTTACAATGGTGAAATATATATTTATAGAATTATTAAAAAATGAAAAAGTTTTATATATTAAGAGACTGATAGAAACAGTCTGAACCATTAAGTGCTGAATCATTCAGACATCTGAATTATTAAGAGGCTGAAACAAATAGCCTCTAAGTAAATTTTAGAATATTTATATAAAATGATACAATTTGAGAAGTGATTGTACAATTTTTTTTCTTAAGAAATAGAGTATGCCTTACTAAAGCGGGCAAAACCTTTTGGAACCAAAAGAAATTTACTCTGCGGAAAAAAGAGAGTAGATCCTCAAATTGTGAGTCATTTAATGCGACCCGCGTAATTAATGTTAAAATGGAAGCCTATGGGAGAAGTTAAAACCGACACGTGGCAGTAGCCATTGAATGTCGTTCCGGTGGCAGATGCTTGGCAGGGCCATGTTGGCAAGAGGCTTTTCTGATCGTTGGATCACCTTCCTAACGGACGGCTGCGATTCAGGTTCTCGCCAAAAGCGATGGTTCTCAGTCTTCCACGAAGGGTTCGGACAAAGTGAGAAATCCCATAAGATGATGAGATTATTAGGAAGGAGTGGTGTGGTACTTCAAGAGAGAGAGAGAGAGAGAGAAAGAGAGAGAGAGAGAGAGACCCAAAGAACTATACAAGCAGAACAGCAGGAAGGGGTGGGGGGGAAAGAGATTGTTTTGGGTGGGAGATCAAAAAAAAATCTGCGACCCTTTGTGGGAAAAAAGGGGATCTTTGGAAAAGAATCGATTTGTGTGGTGGTGACACGGAGACTCCGAGAGTGGGAGAATTTCTTGATTTTCCGGCAACTCCGGCTTCTTTTCCGGCGAAGACTTATGCGTCCGGACAGAACCCATCCCTCTCAGAGAAGCACAGAGGAGATTTCCGATTGACTTTTTACCGTCTGGATCTTCTTCTGCTCGAATGGAGCGGAACAGAGAGGCTAGGAGAGCAAGTATGGTGGCCGCTCCAAATGGCCTTTCGAGACGGCGACACAGACCCAACAGTCTCCGAGACTCCCCTGGTCTCTCCTTTGATTCCGCTCAGATCTGATTCAAGTTTCGATCTTTTTTATTTTTCTTTTTCAATTTAAAATTGAATTTCTACTTGAGGATTGAAGATTCGTTTTTTTCCTGATTTTCGTGGTTGCAGATGAAGATGGACAGGTGGAGTTTTCCGAATCGGCGAGGTTGAGGGAGAGAGTGAAGAAGGATCGAGATCGGGAGAGAAATCGGGAGAGAGATAGAGAGAGGGAGATCGAGCGGTCCAGCCGGAGTAAAAGGCGGAGGGGCGATAGGTTGATTCACGGCGGCGACAGTTCACAGGAGAGTAACGATGATGAGGACTACGAGGATGAAGACGGAAACCACCAGCATCCGAGCAACGGCGGCGGTGGCGCGGCCAGGTCGGTGCCTCCGAATCCTCCCGCTGCTGCCGCCTCCTTTCAGAATCATCACCACCAGAGCAGTAGCGGCAACCACCACTACCCGCACCACCAGCAAAATCATCTTCACCACCATAAGACCTTTCAGCCCAGCAGCACAAATGTTCTCAGGACATCACCTGTGTGGAAATCCGGCGATGAAGTGATAGGGATTTCAGTCCCAAGAAAAGCCCGATCAGGTCAATCTCGATTGAACTTGTTTGATTTCATTCCAAACAAATATTTTTTTTATTTTTTTTAACGTAGTCTCTGTTTTGATTTATGCAGCCCACACAAAGAGGTCTCACGATTGGATTTCGTGCACTGCCACCGCTGCCAACGGTGGTGGAGTGGGAAGAGACCAAAATCACCGCCAAACTTCAACTTCGCCGGTGAGACAAAGTCTTCCAATGTCCCCCGCACCTCCTTTGTCCCCTACTTCTTCCAATGTGTCTGGCCGGAAAAAGATTGTTAGTCCTTCACTCACTTCTCTGCTTAAGATTATCTTCCCCGAATTTTGAGTCTTTTTGAGTGACACTGGTTTTTGCTGATGTAGAAGGCAAATGGGTCAAAGCAGAGGCCGCCAAAAACATCATCAAAATCCACATCTTCCAACCGGGAGGAGCTGGAGATAGAGATTGCCGAGGTTTTGTATGGTTTGATGACTCAGTCCCAAGCTCCTTCGAAGAAAGAAATTGTTGCACCTAATGATTCTGCTGAAATAAACAACAGATCTAGCGGCGATGCTGTGTCATCAGCTGTTTCCAATTCTCAGTCGCCTGCAATCTTGCCTATGAATACAAACTCCTGTGCAGCACCCTTTTCAGCTATTGGTGAGATTTGGGTAAAGCCGTGTTCTCTTTCCCTATTGCATTTCATATCGTGTTTCTGATTTTCTCTTCTCTGACAATTTCAGCTCCGAAGAGGAAGAAACCCAGGCAAGTTTCTGAGAATCAGAGCAGCCCTAGCATTAGGAGCAGCCCTTCTTCTGCTTCAGCAAAATTGCAGAACGATCAGACTATGACATTGAAGGCAGAAGCTTCTTCTCCTAATTCGGAAAAGATGCCATTTGAAAATGGTGGTTCTGTGTATGCTTTAACCAGTCCTCTCATTTCACAAGGTAAGGCTATGTCAGTAGATCGGGTTCTGGAATCGGTGGTGGATTCTGAGGCTAAGCCAGCAGCAGGATGTGAGCCATCACCAAGAGAAGACCATGAAGCAGCCAGAAAGGAGGATGCCCACTTGGTGAAGATGGATTCAGCTTCTGTTGCTGTAGAAGTTAGTAATTGCGAGGATTCAGCTGTGGCGACTACTGCTACAACCTGCAAACCGTGAGTCCTAAATCTAATAATCCAATGTTCTTTACTGAGTTTTGGTTTTAATGGTTTTGATCCAACCCTTCTCTTTTTTTTTGATGAACTAAAATCCAGTTCAGCCGTGTCTGATGTTGAAACTCACAGAGAGAAGATCCAGATTGATCTGATGGTAAGGATAAGAAAAGTGTTTTTTTTTCTCTGCAAAATTGTCAAACTTGTTATACACGTGTTTTTATTCAATTTTGAACCCTATTGCAGGCTCCACCTCCACCTTTAAGATCATCACCTGAAGGAGAATGCAAGGTTGATTTTTTCTCCACTGTAGAACACAAGAGAAATTTATCTGATTCCATCACTGTGAGTAAATTGATTTGTTGTTTTGTAAGTTCTTGGATTTGCCTTGGCTAAGGGTGCTCTCACTGAGACCGTTAAATGTTCTTGCTGCAGGAAACGAGGTTGGATGATGGGAAGGTGGGAAAGGTTGATCAGCCGACTGTGGAAGCTGAAGAGATGAAAGCTAGAGCTGTGGTAGAAACAGAACCCAAAAAAAGAAATGATGGCAGGGGACAGGGTAGTGATCTTCAGCTTAATTTAGAAACACCGGAAAGGGATAGTGTGTTTGCCGACAACAAATCACAACAGTTAGGGGCAAAAACTAGCAAAGAACAGCAAAGTATGGTTATGGAAAAACCTGGTTAGTTATCATGGTTCCTCTTGTCTGATGATTTTTTATTTGCGTTTCTTTTCTCATTATTTTTATTATTTTTTAAATAAAGTTTTAGGTCAATCAAGTACTTTGGCTTTGCCAATGTCCATACCGAGCTGGTCTTGCGGGCTTCCTCCATTGGGGTATGGTCTGATTATATATTGTTGCACGTTTCAAATCCCCATTTAACTCAAATTATCAAATTTGGGTCCTATGGCATTAGTAGTACCCTTCCCTTCTTCGGTGAAATAACCAAGTTCCCATCAGCAGATATATGCCACCACTTCAAGGAGTTCTAACAATGGATGGAAGCACAATTCCCTCAACGCCATTGCAGGTATCACATTATGCCATTTTCCCATTGTTTTTCCTTTGCGATTGATTTCCCATTTTGACATTGAAGTGATTGATGTACAGCCAGTGTTTTCTCAACCTCGGCCAAAAAGATGCGCCTCACATTGTTACATTGCAAGGAATATACACTTGCTCCAACAGTTTATGAAGATGAACCCGTTCTGGCCACCAGCTGCGAACCCTGCTGCGTCTTTGTTTGGATCCAACCTTAATGTTGTCCCTGCGGCTGAGTTTAATGGAAACATTGTTGGGAGGGGTGGAAGTACGGGGCTGGATAAGGGGCATGGACTTGCCATCTTCCCTGGTCTTGGCAGCAAAGATAAATGCTCCCAAGCATCCAACATTCCAGATCCCGTCCAGAGAAACCAGCAGATTCTTTTGCAGCAACCATTACCACCCCCTGTTGCACCCAATAGTCTACTGGTATTGTTGTACCTTTCAACTGTTATATTTCAGATTATTATGGTGTTTTTCTTTTGTTTATTACTACTACCCTTCTTAAAAAATGTGGATTAAACTTGAGGATGTCTTGGTTTGTTTGTTTATTTGTAGCCCGGACACACATACATCATTCCGTTGAACCAGCAGCAAGCTGCTCCTCTTCCTGGTGGGGGTGCTGCAAAGTCCACTGCAGCCATTGCCCGGTCGCATGTGCCTTCAAGTGCAACTAATTCTGCTGTGGGTGGTGTTGGATCTGCCACGGCAGCGGGTGGGAATCATGCCACCACTAGTTTCAGTTATCCAAATGTGCCACCTAATGAAACACCATATCTGGCAATCCTACAAAACAATGCCTACTTTCAGATACCAGCAGTGGGTGCACCATTGAATTACAGAGGAGGGCATCCACAGCCATTGCCGTTGTTCAATGGTTCTTTCTATTCCCCTCAGATGATCCATCCGGCGCAGCTTCAGCAGCAGCATCCGCCAACAAACTCTCAACAATCCAAGCAAATGCAACAAGGTCAGCCAAATGCCAGCTTGTCAAGTGGTTCCTCGTCGTCCCACAAACATCTGCAGAACCAGCAGAAGAGGCCCCAAGGACATGGTGCCCCCATCAATGGCAACAATGGAAATGGAAGCCCACTTCCCTTTCCTGCCTCAAAGAGCCATACAATTCAACCCCAACATCTACAGAATCAGATTATACACCCACCTCAGTCCCGTCACATTGAGAATGAGTTGTGTGGCGAAGATAGCCCATCCACTGCTGAAAGCCGAGCACGTCCACCAGCTAATGTATATAACCAGAATTATTTGATGCAGATTCATCCTTCCAACTTTGGTGTAATGGCATCTTCAGCCACTATGGGTGTTGTACCTGCCCCTACAAGCAGCAGTGGAAATAACAGCGAGAAGCAACGTGCATTAAAAACTGGACTGGAATCAATGCTGCACCAGCATTTTGCAATGCCATTTGCTTCTTCTATAAGTAGTGGGGCTTCTGCTCCTGGAAATAATATTTCATCCGTAGCGCATAATCAGGCCATATTTCAGACTCTGCCTGATGCTACCAGGCAAAATTTTCCGATGGTTACAGGGGCTGCTGCTCCGCAGAAGAAAAGCTATGGAGATGGCAGTAGGGGTGGGTCTGGAGATCCAACAGCCTCTGATGAGAGAAAGGTATCATCGTCAGGCAAGGCTCCTCCAGCTAGTGCCAGACAGTCTATGGCGCTCTCAGGGTCTGACCTTACAGATGTTTCTGCCTCCTCTAAAATGACGGCTACCACTAATGTAAGTCTTGCATCTGGTGGCCCGGCTTGGACTGCACATGCTGTCATGCCAACTTCTGCTGGGCCTCCCCTTTCGAAAGCCAAGATGAACGCCCAATATCAGAAGCAGTTGTTCCACCAACTTCAGCAACAGCAATTTGAGCAGGCTCAGCAAATTGTGCAACAGAAGAAATTAGCCGCAAATGCTGCCCAGAGTAAAGCCCCTCATACTAGTAATGGTACTGTTCCTTCTGAATACTTGACGTCATCTGCTGCTCCCCCTGCTGGTGGGTCTATGTTCTCGAACTCGATCTCTGCTTTTCCACAAAATCTTGTCCAGATCAGTAGCAATAATAGCAGCCCGTCTCGGTCTCCCCAATGGAAAAGTTCTGCTGCAAGAGCTTCCACCTCCCAAGCGCTGTCTTCTTCTTCTTCATTGGTGGCTCCTTCGTCATCTGTCAAAAACCACACTCAACAGCAGCAGCAGCAGCAGCAACTAAGGGCGCAGCAGAATCACACCCAGATATCTTTTGGGGCTAATCACAAGTCAACATCGCAAGGGCAACATCTCCCAAACAGCGGTCAGTCCCAGTCATCAACAATGATGGCTGGATCTCCAACAACCTCCTCTATCTCAAAGGGTGCCGCCGCCAGTGGTAGTCCAAGAACAGCCACCTCTGCTTCCATGAGCAACAAGACTGACCAGACTCCATCACAACAGGGGAAATCATCTATCCAAATGCCCAACCAGAAATCATCCCCTGCAGGTGGGAGGAGTGTTCCTTCGATTCTCGGAAACCAGCACGCTATTCCTTCAACCTCAGGCTGTGGAAGTAATAAAACTCAAATGCAGCAGCAGCAGCATTTGCCAAAAGGTGCACACCAATCCCAACTCTTTTTCTCAGGCTCTTATGCGCAAACACAATCTACAAACCCAAGTTCTGCTTCTGCCACCAGTGGGTATTTTGTTCAGAGAAGACACCCGGAACAGCAGCAAGCTCAACACCCACCGGGTTCAACAATGCCAACATCATCAAGTAGTATGTTAACTATGTGTCCTGTTTCCCTGGGCAGTGGGGGGAGCACACCCAATCATTCAAAAGCAACTGCAGCTTCCGCTAATATGAGAGGCACCAGCTTGCCACCACAAAACATCCCCCAATTTTCATCCCACTCATCTGGGAATCAGCATCACATTTTGCCTGCTGGTTTCTCTTATGTCCAGCCTGCTCAGGTGAAGCCGACGGAGCAAAAACAGCCTGCTGGTAAGTAAGAATGTATGGAATTTTTGTTTTTTTGCAACTATATTTTCTGGTGGATAGGTTCTTGAGTCAGAAAATTTTAAAAAGGGTGTTCCAGATCTAATAGGGACTCATAATTTATAAAGCAAGTCATAATTTCTTGACCAGGAAATGATAATTTGAATGCATGCTGGCAGCCTGAGAAGAGATGAGTATGTGTATTGACACAGCCTATGAGGAAGAACCATCGGGTGAATCCCACGGTCAAGGACCCACCCAAGCTGGAAGCGGCCCCATGGACTTGAACGTGGGCCATAGAAGCCCGCAATGGATGTGAATGTATGTATGTACACCGTTGTCTCTAGTCCGATGGACCGAACGACGGGGATGTGAAGCTGACTGCGATTGCGCGCTGGTTTCTGCTGGCTGATGCATTAAAAAAAACAAAAAGATGACTTGTAAGAAAAATGATCATTGTTTTGAATGACTAGAAGGAAAGAATTTTAGCCAAGGAATTAGAAGAATGTCTGTTTAAATATCCTGTTCTTTCGGGTGTTAGCTTTTAGCCAAAGATCTGTTGTTATTCGTTATTTTTTTTTCTCCCTTTAGGAGTTTTAACAGCAGAAAAAAGGTAGTAGTTTCTTGACAGCCTTGTTTTGAAACTGTATGTATGTATATGCAATGTCTGTTTCTCTCTCTCTCTTTGAAGCACAGATAGTTCCAACCCTTAGATCTTGATATGGTCAACCGGGTCAATTCATCTTAAGGCTGGCAATATCCTGCAAAACAAGAAATGAATTTTTAAACATTTTTTTTCTAGTCCATTTCTTTGATGGATGCTTGCTTCATTTTTAGGTTTGTTCCATTATGCATGCTTAGATTTTTTTCAAGAAAAAGTTTCTTTTACGGAGTTGAAGAGAATTAAATTATGTGAAAATATATGCAGAAGAAGGATGATATCCATATGAGACAAGAACAAAAAAGGTAAGAAAATTCATTTTAATGGGAAAGATAAATGTGTGTGGAGGGAGGAGAGTGGGTATAAAATGACTATGTCATGATGATGTCTTTTATTTTTACTACTGTATTAAATTCTCTCTTCTTTTTTTTATCCTTTTGTACTTCATAAGATATTTGGGTGTCCCATGGGTGATTTTGACATGTTTTTTATTGCCTGTCATTGGAGAAGTTTATTGGCTATTTAAAGTGCCAAAGCAATAATTGTTGGTGTGGGTGTGGGGCAGTGGCATGATTGTTGCTATGCTGTGCTGGTGCGATCTAGTAGTGCTAGTCGGGACTCTAAAGCAAGTAGGTGGTGTATAGGTGGACATTATACGGAAAGTCCGAGTTCCACTTGTCATGTAGGGCACCCCTCCCCAAATTGGTAACCTGATTAAAAGGGTAAACCCCAAACTTTGGGGGCCATGCCTGCCGTTGACAGGGCCCCCCCTTGGGGCAGTCTCTGTCTTCAGCTGCATTTAAATCCCCCCCAAACCGTGACTCAACGCCTCATGTGGGACCCTCTCCTGCATCTCAATATCTCCTTATCTTTGGAATGTGCATCATGTATTCATGTGACATCAATTGGGAAAGGGATTATGGTATCTGTACCCCAAAATTTGTACCCCGCAGTTTTGCACCAACATTTTGTATTGGTGTAAAACTAATTTTTGTTAAACGCACCAACATTTGTGTTCGTGTGAATTTTTATTAACGCACCAACACTTGTGTCGGTGTAAACCATCGAAATGTTTGTACAAACCTGTGGTGTACAAATGAGGTATATTTGTTGGTGTAAGTGTAGCATGGTCCATTGGGAAAGAGCTAGTCCTTTGCATTTAATTTTCAACTATATTTAATTTAAAGTTCTAGCAATAAAATTTTATTACAATATCAATATTATTAGAATTTTGAGGAAGATGTTTAAAATAGTTAAATATTAAAAAAATTTATCTTTCAAAACTACTCCCTCCGTCCTATAATGATCTTCCCGGTTCGCAAAACGAAGAAAAATCCCAAGTTTTTTCAATCTATTTTATTTAAATATTGGTATAGAAATAAAAAATAAAACATACATATTTAAAAACTACACCAAAAGTTCAACAAAACAAGTGGTGACAAGAATATTTTATTTTATCATATAGGCCATGAAAAAACACAAATAAATATAAATTCTTGTGAA